CCTATGTATCACAGTGAGTAACACCATTTCCCTGTTTTTCCACAATTTGTAATGTATTTTATTGGGTTTCTATGGGACGGACCAACACAAAGTATCACACCATGAAAGCTGCTTGCAGGTAAAAATCTGAAAAGTGCGGCATTCAACCCCTTGGATCTAATATCTGGTAAAAGCATTTTTTGGCTGCAGGCAGTTTCACTCCACTAGCCTTAAAAGGTATAGTGGAAGATTTTTGCAAAATTTTTGAAAAGACCCGCCCTCCCCACTTAAAGAAAAAATGCACATGCACAACCCTGTACCCGCTCCCGAGGGGGAACGCATATTAAATGTGCCATTTCTCCTCGTGCACGCTCTGTTTAAAAGCTGCTGTTTGCATTGCTCATGCAAGCTTACTATCCAAAAGAAGATTTTAAATTTTTCCGCTATGTAAGACTCACCAACGGTAAGGGAAAATGGGGACGAGCACATAGGACGGCCTTACGTAAACGTATCACCAGAATGATTGACAATTAGGAGGAACACTGATTTTGATGATCCACCCAAAAAAGAACCTCCTCCACACCTTAGGAGGGAATTTCACTCTTTAAAACGACAAAACTTGGTGTTTATATGAATATTGAAGTGTGTGCAGGCATCTCAACTAATTTAAATTCATTGTGGATCTAGATCAGGGATGGCTAATTCCAGTTCCTGGGGGAACTTCATTCAGGTGTGTTGAACAAAAGGCACTCCTAAAAGTTGCAGGATACCGGCCCTGAGGAACTGGAATTGCCCACCCCTGATCTAGATAAAACCTTCAAGAAGTATTTTCCCATTCCCATACATCATTTAGATTGTCTGGCTGACTTATATCAAAATGTGTGTCCTTGAAAGTTTCTACGGCTTTTGTGGAATAAACAGAAGCATCAGTCTATCATCATATGATCAATGAAAGCAAAAAAGATTCCTTTATAATAAGGTTTGCATAAATAGTAACACATTCTCCACAATCTAGGTGCCTATTTGAACGCGGCTCTCCTCAAACACCTACACACTTGCATTTTTACCCATTCCTCTCTAGATGTAAATCTTACCACAGAGACTAATATCGATTTAGAACGTTACTTTGATTAGGCCAACATCCGTGATCTAAACCTTTCCTTGTATATCTGGCTCCATCCATCCTCAGGTTCTCTGACGTAGCTGTAAAAAATCAATCTCCATATCATGATGCTGCCACTACATTACATTTTGATGGGCTTAATTTTTGTTGTTTTTTTGCACCAAAAAATGTTTGGCATATTACCGAAACAGTTTGGTATTTGGTATAGAAACTGAACTAATGTTTTAATCTCTCATCAGTTAAACCAAATGCCCCATGCTGCCTCACGGTTAGCCACAACTCAAGCCGACACATTTTCACCTGGAAAAGCACCTATGAGAAATACAGCTCTGACACAGTCCTGCCAGAGGACCTGACCTACCAGCTGCTGCTCTACAGAACAGGAGACAAACACGGGGTGAGTGTCTTCATCATCGCATAACAGGCAGAGAACATAGAGGGAAATACAAAGTGTGTATCTGTTTCTAGTTAGTGATAAAATAAAATTTGATTGTGGAGATATAATGAATAATATCATTAGCTGACAAGCATGTTATGGTTCACCTGGACTACAGCTCCATAACATTGGCCGGTTAGACCTGAACCTTAAGGTTGGGGCCTTTCCTACACCTTTAACATTAGGGTCCGGTACTTCAGGACCAGGTTTTTATGTTTGCGTTTGTGTCGTGTTGGTTTTCCTCCTTCATTTATAGTTCACCAGCAGATATGCAGCCTGACAATTTCTATAGGGGTGGCCAGGCAGGGGCCAACATGCACTCAGGTGTGTCGAAAATGGATGGAGAACATAATCAGTTCTGGCTCAATCGACACTGTAACAGCAGGAAAATGAATGAGCACAACATCTGTATTTTATAAATAAATAAATTTAAAAAGACA